GCCTGCAGGATCGACAGAGTTCAACGTCACGGTTGCTCGCGCCTATTCGAAGCTGCTGGGCGCCTTCGTAACCTTCAGGGCAAACGCCGCGCCAGAGGGCGTCACGGACCTGGAGCACCCCGGCAATCAAGCAAACGGCACCTCATTTTTGGAATCGCAGATGCAGATCGGTTCGCTCCAATATCCCCATTACCCTGCAAAGGACTTCGCAGAGCACCACCACTTCCTTCAAATCATGGCCGGCACCTACGACTCCACGTTCCGAAACATGCGCCTGACCAAGAACATGTACGAGGGCAGCTCCTTCATTGCAGCCTACCCAGTGGAACGAGTGCCGAAGATGCCCCTCAGCGGCATCAGCACCAGGGCCGGCGACCTGGCGCGCTTCACCTTCAAGGGGCTGCAAGCGAACAAGGTGCAGCAGTGCTACGTGCACATGGTGAGCTATCAGGTTGTCACGCTTTCGGGCTCTGGCGTGTCGGTCCTCGACTAGCGTGGCTCGTTGAAAGGAAACCTAGAGACCATGTCCCTTTTCGAAAGCTCCATCACCGGCAACATTCTTAACGACGGCAACACCTCAGAGATCAGCGGCATCACCGCAGGTCAGCTTGCGACGGTCTTGACGGCGCACACGCCTCTGACCGAGACGGCTACCAACACTGCCTCCATTTCGGCCAACGCAACGGGCGTAGCCAACAATGCGGCTGCCTTACCGGCCTTGCAATCGCAAGTCGACGGCCTCCCACCTTACGCCTTGGCTTCCGACTTGGCAGCGGCAGAAGGGCTCCTTGCCGCCAACTCCAGCAGCCTCGCAGCACTGAATATTGGCGAGCAAGGCCAACCAATCCGCCCTGGACACCCTGCAGTTGGAGGTGGACGGCAAAGCACCGCCCAGCCCGGCACCCGCACAGCGCCGCCACTCAGTTTTCCCGCCATGCCGCGAAGATCCCCAACCCTCCCAATGCCCCGCACCTTGCCCCGCACCGCATCAATTCGACCCCTGGGGTCAATGGAACGCATGGCACAAAGGAGCAGGAAAAGCGCTACCCCCCTGCCGACGCACCGCACAGCCCCTGGCCCTGTGCACCGCCCCTGTGGGCTTGCCCTCCCCCACCCCCAGAGCGCGACGCATCGCCTCCGCACCGCCCTGCAAAGTATCGCCCGAGCCGTCACGTGCACACCCAAATTAAATGGGTTGATGCACGTGACGGCTCCAAGAGGCCGATATTCAAGTCCCACACAGGTGCTATCTGTTGTGCGATCGAGTGTCAGCACCCAGACTGCACCAGCGATGCACCGCCATGCATGAAACCCATCAAGACGCCTTGGTCGGATGACGTGCATACCAAGCACCATTGCTCTGCGTGTCACCACAAGGAGCAGATGGCATAGCAACGCATTGCAGTGCCAGCACCGCACTTCGCATTGGTTCCGATGCCTATCTCATAGCACAGCATTCTTTTGATGCAAAGTGCGCTGCCGCACTCCTGCTCGAGAATTTTCTCGCACTGCTCCTTGGGCAGTACTCTGCTCGGCGTCTGCTGCACTGCACTGTATAGCTTAGCTATATCCTTCGCCCCGCCCCCAAGGTCTCTCCTTAGCATGCACCAGCCTCGCAAATGCAGCAGACGCAGAGTACAGCCGCAAGCTGTAGCATGGCAGCTGCTTGGGCATCGCCTCGCACGGCAAAACTTCGCGAGCTCGTTGCCCTTTCGGAATTGCAACATAAACACATAGGCTGCTTACTCACTCTTTGCCTCAGGACTTTCAAGAACGCAATGCCCTCGCGTCACCGCCTCAAGCCCCGCACTCTCGCCTTGTGTGCTTTGAATTTTGCCCCGCACTTTTCAGGCATTCGAGCACAGCACAGCCCGGCTCTCGCAATGTACGTCTTGTGCTGTCCTTTGTTGGCCAGGCTCGTTGTCAGCTCCCAGCCCCGCTCCTTAACCTCCCTCCCTAACCGCAGCCATTTCTTGCTCAAGGGAACATGAGGCACAGGTGGGCTGAACAGGCCACCCAACGCCAAGCACAGCTTTCAGGCACCGCGTGCCCGCAGTCAGATGCATCGCCTATCATAGATTTGTATTCCCAAACAGCCGATCCCACGCAGCCAGATTCTGCACTGCCCGCTACCCTTGAATATGCGGCCGCAGAGACGCATAGCATTGCTGTGCCCGAGGTGGTCCCTACACAACTAGACTCGCCTTGCATCTCTGTCTCCTCCACTGAGGACGTGGAGTTCGTGCCGCAAGCAGCCCCCAACCACAGCGCTGTGCTACTTTCCTTAGCAGCCTCTAGCAAGCATGCGCCGCACAACTCGGCATCGTCAAATACCTCGGTGCCCAAGCCTTTGTCGCATGGCCCCTTGCCCACAGTGGCTGACCTGGCAGTGCCACCATCAACCTTGCACCGCTCGCCATCTCGGCTCACCTTCTACCCCGGGCCCTGCTCTTCTCCTTCGGCGCCGCCCAACCCAGCTCCACTCAAACGCACCCGCACGGCTCCACCCCTCCGCCTGGGAGGCCTTGCACTGCCAGCCCCTCCTGCTGCGCCTTTGAGCCTTACCAGCCCTAGCAAAGCACCGCAGCCCGCTAAGCACTTTTCTGCCCTCACGCATTCGCCCCAGGCCCCGCCTTCTGGCCCAGCTCCGGCGCTTCGAGCCCCGTGCCCCCGCAAGGTCCGCATCACTCGGACCCGACTCTCGCTTCAGACCCGGGCCCGGGCACAGCACTGTGGTACACATTGGTCGCAGTTGCTCTTCCGCCTCGGTTCCGCATCTCTTCTTTTCCGCTCCCTCTCAGGTACAGCGGACGCCACGCAACACATGCTCGCAGTCATTCGCAAGTTTGCGCCCAGCACCCTGGAACGTTACTTGCGCATAGCGCAACAATTTCTTGGCTTTCTCGAGGCCTGCAACATCTCCTTCGACTGCGTCACGCTGGCAGCCGTGCTCGACTACCTCGCAGCAGCCCGTGCCTCGCGCAGCCAAGACCTTGAAATACACCGCATCAGTGCCACCTCTGCCATCAAAGCCCTGCGCTGGTTCCACAAACTCTCGCAGTGGGAACAACTCACCCCCGCCATGCAAAGCCCCGTTATTTCGGCCTACTCGTCGCGCAGCACCGCCAAAGACCGCAAAGAAGCTCTTCCAATACCCATGGCAATCATAGCGGCATGGGAGCAACGAGTGGGCGACCCCCACACACCGCTCAGCACCGTTCTCATCTTGGGCGCGGCTTTGTTGGCCATCCATGCCAGCCTCCGCTTCGGGGACATACAGCGCGTCGACTTTGCGTCGCTTTCGCTCACCACGGTCGCACTGCACGGCAGTTGCTTCGCCACAAAAACTACATCTCAGGGCCAACCCTTCGCGGTTACCCTGGCAGGCATCACAGGCCGAGACACGCACTCCTGCTGGCCGCTACATTGGTTGGCCGCACTGCAACGCGGCTGCTCGCCGTTTCGCGACAAAGACGGCGACCCAGACTTCCTCTGGGTCAGCACCGCACCGGACCTGCGTACCCTTGTCGAACTTGCACCAGCATCTTATTGCACCGCAATGCTCGCTCTGCGTTGGGCTGCCACCTTGCCTTGGCCGGGGGCCATTCCCGGCCTTACTGCTCGCGAAGCACTGCAACTCACCTTGCATAGCATGAAGAGCACCGTCCTTGCCTCGGCCGCACAGCTGCGCCTCAGCAAAGACATCCGCTTGTCTCAGGGCCATCACAGAGACAGCGCCGCACTCTATAGCCGCAACGATACTTTTGACAGCCTTTACGCACAGCGCCGCCTATCTCTCGCACTGAGCCGCGGCTGGCGCCCAGAGCGCAGCATTGCACGAGGGGGCCAAGCCCCTATACCGGAACCTCCTTTTGCACTGCCCAGCAACGAACCACTCCCCGAAGTGCCCGCCTCAGCACTTCTGCATGGACCTTGGTCCTGCTTCGCGACTCGGCACGAGAGCCTCCAAGCAGCCCTACCATTAGCGCAGCCTAATCGCGCCACGAGAGCACCGCTGTCACCTCCACCATCGCCCGCCGCCTCTCCCTCTTTTGAGCCACCCTCAGAAAGCGAAGCGTGCTCAGATGAGGAAGCCCGCATGGTTGAGCGTGCTGCGCTACAACGCCAAGACAGCACATCCTCACACGCATCCACATCTTCTCTGTCCTCGTCCGTACCAGAGCCTAACGCATCGCAAGATGACAAGCCCCTCTACGCATGCACAGGCCCTCGGGGTTGCTGGCACTGCCTACAGCCTCCCGACGCCTCGGGAACAGTACGCACCGCGTGCGGTTTAGACTTGGGCCTGGCCTCCTTCACCTCCGAGGAGCCACCGCCTCCCTTGTGCAGGCACATGGCGTGTGTCATCAGGCGCGCCGGACACCTGCGCTGATTGCGGAAAACAGCATTGCAGCCTGCGTACTCCCTTACCCACACGCCCCGCAAGCACTGTTATAATGCTCAGGTCTACGACGCAGCGCGCGCCAGCCCAGCTTTTGTTGCTCGCTTGGCACCTGCCTGTAAACGCCTCCTTGTCCGCAGCTGTTTCTTTTCTGCTCAAACTCTAGCGTGAACCCCTAGGCCGGCTCCATGACAGACGCTTCTGCCGGAGCATCCCTG